ACCACTGATAGGATACAGCACCAGCCCTACACTTCTGAACCACTGATAGGTTACAGCACCAGCCAGCCCTACACTTCTGAACCACCGATAGGACACAGCACCAGCCCTACACTTCTGAACCACTGATAGGACACAGCCTTGCTTATGCTTCCAGGACTGCAGACTGCTTTTAAGAGAGTGGCTGTACAAGACAGTGAGCAGCAGGTCTTTAAGCTGATGGCTGATGGAACTGCCTTCATACAAACTCTAGATAGCATCGCCTTCAAATCAAAGCTGAACGTCTGCCTTCATATCTAGAGATTAGGGCATTTGTGCCGTCATGTGACTTACCTCTGGGGCACTGAGGCCCCTGCTGTCTTCCCTGTAGACACAGTGAACAAGAGAACAAGTCAGAGGCTTCACAGACGCAGGACCACATCTGTCTGACCGAGGCGGTAACCCCCTGATCAAAAGGAGCAGGTTAAACTGAATATCCATTCCTTCTGGAACGGGAACGACAATCTCTTCCTGGCTCCCTCAGTGATCCTCAATGATCAGACCTCTGTAATTTTGTTTTATTTTGTCAGACATTCATAAGGGAAATCAGTCCACACTGTCTCTCTCTCCCAGTGCCTCAGCTCCAGACCCCCCCCACACTGCCTCTCTCTCCCAGTGCCTCAGCTCCAGACTCCCCCCACACTGCCTCTCTCTCCCAGTGCCTCAGCTCCAGACTCCCCCCACACTGCCTCCCTCTCCCTTCCTCCCACCCTCTAGCAGGTGGTCTCTTACCAGCACTGCTCTTCCTCTTCTTGCAGACCACACACAGGAGGAGAAGACTGAGGATGAGGAGGACGATGAAGCCCAGAGCCCCCCCAGCGAGGATTCCCAGTACTGGCACCTCCACGTGAGACTGCAGGAAGTCTGCAGAGAAGGCGGCAGGAGAGTGAGACAGAGATGAATGATGCTGAATGACGCACGCCCCTGTGCTACTGTCACTATTGAGCACATCAGGCAGCAGACCTGACAGCAGAGCAGGAGGGAGAGTGAATAAAGAGTAAGAGAGCAGGGCGAGCTGTGAAACAGTGCAGAGGGGGTGGTAATAAAGGAAGGAATGGGCAGGAGTGATACAGGGAAGAGTGCAACTCCTTGTGAGAGTGATCGAGGGAATGAATGTGCAGGAGTGATACAGAGAGGAGTGCACTGCTTGTGAGAGTGATCGAGGGAATGGATGTGCAGGAGTGATACAGAGAAGAGTGTTGTGAGAGTGATCGAAGGAATGGATTGGCAGGAGTGATACAGAGAAGAGTGCAGTGCGGTTTGTGAGTGACAGGGAGGAGTGTGAGAAAGCACTAGAAGCAGCGGAAATGTGAAACAGTGAAGATTCATGTAAGACTGATGGAGGGGTGAGAGAGTGAGAGAGAGAGAAAAGGGTGTGAAAGAGCAATGGAGAGCAAGTGTGAGCCTTCGGAAGGTGACGGGGAGGACGAGTGTGATACCTCTGAGGGTGATGGAGGAGTGAGAGACACCCAGGCTGTTGTTGGCGCTCAGGGACACGTTTCCTGATAGGCTGCTGAGCGTCACCCGCAGGGTGTGATTGGTCAGCCAGGGGTAGCTGCGCGAGTCCAGGATGAGGAAGTCAGAGGTATTGGTCACCAGCTGGCCAGACTGGTCCACCCAGGTGATGGTTGCGGGGGGGTTGGAGCGAACCAAGGCGAACAGGACCAGGGAGAGCCCAGGGTCAGCAGGTTCTGTGTACTGAGCACTGACCTGTACAATCTCAGGCTGGACTGGGATGAGAAAGAGACAGGAGAAAGAGGGTATAGATAGCTTTGTTTCAGGGATTTCTACAAGTTTCTACCAGAACTAGTCATCTAGGGAACATTCATGATATACATTTGTCAGTCTGCTGGTCACATTATCATTCAGAAAACAGAACCCATTTCTTTTAAGAACGGGTACAGTCTTGGCATGATAAATAGTTGTAATACTGCCAGAAATCTTGCTAACTCTGTTGTACTGAAGAGTCTGTTAGCTAGCAGCTATTCCTGGGAATTAACTCAACATGCAATTCACCCAGATGTTCAGTCTGTCCTCTGAAGGGGGACTTAACACAATTTGCCAACGCGCAGCACAAGAACAATATTCATGTTTTGGCACTGAGTCAGAAGAACATCAGAAAGGCTTAAAAGAGAGGAGGCCAGCGGGCCCGTCTACTGCAGCTCATGTGGTCATTAGTAGTTAATTGATCGGAGGATCTCCTCCAGCTGTTCCTTGAAAGAAGCCAAGGTATCGGTTTCAACAACGTGGCTGAGTGGCTTGTCCCCCACTCCCACAACTCTTCCTGCAAAGACATGCCTCCTTTTCTGATGGGAAGATCTCATCCAGACGCTTCTTGAAAAAGTTAGAGTACTGACAGCATGGCTGAGCAGGAGCTTGCTCCCCACTCCTACTACCCTATGTGCAAAGGTGTGCCTCCCATTCCCAGTTTAAAGCTCGGTTTCCCACAGTTTGCACTTGTGCCCCGTGATTTGTGTTTCACTGCTGGATTTAGGTCACATTTCCTGAATCCGGGGAATTAGA